TAACAGAAATACTTACATTCCGACAGAACTATGCCGAAGTGATTTTACTAAAATAACTTAGGGTGATTTTACTACAGGGTGTCGGAGTTAATTGCGAAGGGAGACTAGGGTTCGAAACGCGTTCTCCCACAAGCGACACCCTTTATCACTCGCTATCAATCATGACATTCGCGTCTCTCGATAGTCGTCCCACAGTTATTACTGTCACTAATGACTCGGTGCGCAAGTGCGGAAAGGGATCGAGAATTCTGCCAGTCACGTGGTCACGGTCGCGGAAAGATAGCGCCGATAATGGTTCGGTTTAACGGGAAAAAGAATTAACAACCAACAATTTGATATCGCGCGATGTATATCGACAATCTCGCGATCTTCGACAATCTCGAGGAGGACGATGATGATGATGTATGCCGCGGGTGCGTAAAGCATGAAATTGCAGGTAAGACGCGTGACGCTTCGCCGAACGTCACAATCAGCTGTTAACGATCCGTCATCGAGATACTGGCCGGCCGGCCGGCTATTACGTCACGTTACATCGTGTAATAGCGACTCCCGCGGCGCGAGCTTATTATCGATATCGACTCCTTCATCTCTCGAGCCCGTTTTTGTCGATATGCTAAAAGACGAGCTACAAACTTCGCGATGCAGCAAAAACTGCGCGCGGTTTTTCTCTTCCTCTTTTTTGTCTTTTTGGTTTTCCAAAATTTTTGTTTTGCAAGTTCGAGATCGAACTTCTCGATACGTTCAAAAACATGTGTCATTAAATACTTAAAGAAAAGACAATTAAATAACAATAAAATGATAGCCGAATTATTTGTTGCATAGATAAAATTTAGCACGAAAAATATATTGCAGAAAATTTAACTAAAGAACACTAAAATACAAGTTGATAAAAATAAAAAAGAACACTAGTTTTATGTTTTATCATCGCGAACGTGTTAAAATCGTCTTTAATAAAGTCACATTTAATAATACGAAAGCGTCGCAAGAGTATAATTATAAGGGAAGAGTCTCATACGCAGATGCAGAACAATAATCACGATTCTTGCGAATAATCATAATTTGTTCCACTTTCGAATTCCAGCCTTTTATTAAGTTTTACAATACGTCTTTTGTCGCGAGCGGTAAAAGTTGTGAGAGCGAACGTGAAAAGGTCAGAAGGGGAAAAAATATCGCGTTATTCTATCTTCGACAATCGCTAAGAAACGTTTCCTATTTGAGATCGTGCGATTTCTCCGCTGTACATCATTGTCATTATGTAGGTCGAAAACGCATTTGCGCCAATGTCATACTTAAATTAGTCACGTGTAGGTTAACCTTGACGAGTTTCACGCTTTATTTGGAGAGATAAGATCAATTGGAAATATACATACATATGTATTTTAGCAATTGTAACTCGACACACTAATTGACACGCTTTCTTATTTATCTCATTTATTATATTACTCATTTAAATGAAAATATAAATGTCTACTGCTTTCATTAAATGAGAGATTCAATGATAGAAATATTATTTTTAGCCTTCATGTACAACTAAAATATTTTATTAATATTATGTCGTTTTTGTAAAATCAATATTTTCTCCTATTATTAAAAAAAGATTTTATATTATTATATATAACATTCTTTTACCGTTCTTTAAAAATAGGCTATTTATTTATTATTATTATATATATGTATACATATATACACATACATCTATAATATCTGTATATCATATGTATATATATTATACGTATTTTATTACATGTATATATCTCAAGTTTTATGAAAAACTAAAAATTTTATGTTTGAGATATACAATAATAAAATTTTTCATGAAGCTGGCGTATCAAAATTTACCGTTTTATTAAGATTATATATATATATATTTTTCAATACTGAATTTTCTTACGTAAAAATTAAGGAGCTTAAGGAATAAAAGTTAGAAGTAAAATAGCCTTTCGAATGAAAATCCGAGAAAGCGTTTGAGCTTTCCACGCGGTCCTACGCGAAGGCGCGCAGCGTTCTCTCGTAATACCCCGGTAATCTCGGCGGAGTCAATCTTTTAGCGAGTTCATCTTCGGCGCCGCTCGTCCGGCTCCGGAGAAGTTACACGTATCGCGAGAGAGCTTTTTGCCGACGAACCGCCGGAGTTCAACGATACGTGAAAAGACTCGCGGTATATACCGGCATTTTAGCCAGAGGAGATATCCGCCAGACGAGATATATCCCCGAAAACATGATATCGCCGCCCGGAATCGATACCGCTTTAAAGCTCCCGAAAGCTCCGATAAGTAGTTAATTGGTGGTTCATGTCCGTCCGCGAAAGTAATAAGTAATTATTAATCCAGCTCGCGGATTGGAGTGTTTCTTTTCTTTGAACCTCGTTTCGATACGATGATCGGCTAACAAGACAGTCGATCCTGTCTGCTGTCTGTAATCGGGAAGTTATAAAGGGAAACGAGAAAAAGGAAGCGAAATCAAGCGTCGATACGTTTGCTTTACATGTTTTTATATGGGAGCGTGTAAGCATACAGGAGAATATTTGATCCCTTGATCGCTTCTAATTGGAAAACTCCATTCGTATCTTGACGTTTTAATCAAGGAACAATCAATTCTCCCGAAGCCTGTCAAGATTAAAGTCGATAGGAGGTTCGATGTTTTCGAGAGAAAATTTTAATCGAAGTCTTGCGATAATGCGAGGATATAAATTCTATTTACAAAATATAAAAAGATATCTCATTACATTTTTTTTTTTACTTTTACTTATTTTTTGTATCGATTTTAATATCGGATCTGTGTAAAGATAACGAATTCAACGACATGAATGACGCGAAAAAAGTGGCGTGTATTCAAAATCAACCCTTTCGCCGGGCTCTCGTTTCTGACCCTTTTAAGCCTCGAGCGATTTAAATTCCGAGCCGACAGCAAAGCTACGCAAAAGGCGAACTGGTGCGAGACTGAGATACGATTTTTATTCCGGCGTGTTATGCAGCGTCAGAATAGGTAAAAAACAGACAGAGATATGATTTTAAGATTTGAAAAAGGAGCGATTTAATTTCGCAAATAACAATAATTTCGATATTTGGCGATTATAAAAAGTATCAATCTATAATACGTGAATTAATTTTTATTAGATATCTTTAGCAAATTTTGAAAATTAATTAGCGCACTTTATAATAGTTCGATCGTTCAAGAAAAAATATTGTCGTTCGTATATTTAATCTTTAAAAATTTCAATCACATACAAACAAGTGCTTTTGAACAAATATGTTTGTATTGTAATGTGTGTTACGTTTCTGATTTTATTGATATATAAGACCGACACATCACTCTTACATTCAGAGGATGCTTCATTGACGAAAAACAAAATTTTAATGCTCGATCGTCGGCGATCTTGACGATGAAATAACGCTGGCGCTGCGAAATTTCTCATAGTCTGCTCCTCAATTATTCATCATTGGAATCACGACAGGGTGGATCCAATCGAGGAGCGTCTTTGATCAAAGATACCGAGCTTCTCCTCCAGCCCTATCGAGCCTGAAGGATGGCGGGCTTGAACGTCGGACAGCTGTGTACATCTCGCCATGAACGGAGAAGCAATCTTCCGAGCCTTCGAGAAACCTCGCCGCAAAGAGCCGCGGTTACACGTACAAACTGAATCCCCGACGTACTCCGCCATTTCGCGAGCCAAGCAAAATCATTCTTCCGTCTACGTTCACATTCGCTCTCAACCCTTCACTGGATAATTTTTCGTCTCTTCGTCAATGAAAAGATTATTGTGACGTCAAATGTTCTTTCTCGTTATATTTTAAGACATTTTCGCATGCAAAGGCTCTTTGTATTTCCTTTCTGGCAGAAAAGCTTCGATATATTTATTGTAACATTTAAAGCTGTTCACTGACAAAAGGGTTAACTGTTTACTTTGTTGGAATTTCAATTCTGTCGCTTTTCTTTTTTTTTTTTTTTTTTAATTCGTTACTTGTTTCGACCTAATATATTCGGATTAAATGATGGATCTGTGTTGTGTTTGACATTTTGAAACGTCTCAATTTCTTGCATAAGTAATAGCAAAAGACACGAGTTCTCGCGCTCGAGAGCAATTAATATGCGATTTTGAAGCATCAGTTTTGCGCGGTAAAATTGAGAATACCAGAGAGTATTCAGAGATTAAAGTACTCCCTGGAACCATCGAGATTCGATCGATAAATCTTCCAATTTAAGAGTTCGTTCGAAAGTTACGTTCTCCATTATCTTCGCCGGGTCCATCTACGAGCGACTCGCGGCCGGCTTTCACGTCCCTAGTGAGGAAGAAAAAAAGAGCCGAAGGAAAGGGATTGCGAGACATCGGTTTCAAGGAGCGAGAGAAACAAGCTTCTACAATATTCGGAAAACTTGCGAGCCGGGAAATGGCTCTCCCCTCGGCTTTATTCAAATCCGTCGACGGTCTCGCTGGAAAAGAAGCTCCGTCGTTGCGCTTTCGTCGCCATTTTTATGTCAAACTCTCTTAGCGGAGAGTGGTGACCCGGCAAAGTTTTCGGGGTTTTACGTCGCGCAAAACTAGCCGAAGCCAATTGTTTATTTATATGTTTATTTCGTTCGTTCGTCGACGGTTTAGAAATACTACGGAACAAATTTCGCGAAATCTCGAACGCGAAACAATCGACGAAATGGAATCGCTAGAAATTGAAGATTTTAACCGAAAAGGAAAAACAAATAAGTATATATGAAATATTTCGGGTGCGTTTTTATTAACTGTTTCGCATTCGATTTTTTTGTCTCTGGTTTTTTAACATTTTTCAAATCTACAGAGAAGCAGCATTATGCGTTAATTTAGCTATGCATGATATCGCTTAATCGATGATTAATAACAGGTATCAGGAACCAATGTCGATTTATCGATAAATGCCGAAATTCTCTTAATTTTGTTCCTGCTATTTGCTATTTTTGATTCGGAAAATAATTCCTACTATGAGCAATCTCGCACATGCTTATTTTAAAATTAATAAGAGCCTACTTACTCTGGAGCAGGATTTCTCCAGCGTTGTGTTCCAGCTCGCGCCATCAGGCATCAATCGCCCGATCTGAAAGCAGAAAAGAGAATAACGTGTTATTTCTTCGTGATAATCTAAAAACAAATAATTAAAATGCATGGATAACTTCGACTACGCAACGTATATCATAAATAAATTACAAAATCAATTTAATTTTATATATAATTTTTACATGATAAAATATCCCTGAGACGATTAATCGTTCTTTAAATGTATACATATATGTAATACTTCTTTACATATTTATTTTTATTTAATAAAAAAAATTAATTATTACACTAAAACTTTAATGTAAATTAAATTAATAAACAATATTTTTTATGTATTAAAAACACAATATAGCATGGTAATACAAAACATTCTGATGTTTATCGAAGCGCAATCTTATAAAAAATAATATAAAATCACTTTCATTAATATAGTATGGAGCAAATCCGGACAAACATGCACAAACGTAGCAGCGATGCGAGTAATAAGTGCAATACGTAATGCTATCTCCATAATTCGTACGCGCCGGTAGCGGTAATAATTGTAATTTACAGTTACGAGACTGCCAATTCTCTCTATTATATCACGTTATGTAATTTCCCGTATCTCTCTTTGCCTCGTTAGATACATATATGCAATGGGAAATCTCAAGGCTATCGAACAAAATGGAAGAGTAACAAAGAAGATTAATATTTTCTCGCTGCAATTTCGAATAAAGATAAATTTTTATATGCATCAGCATTATTTTTGTATGCATTAGTGTAAAACCCTCTGCTTTTAAATAATTCGATCCTATATATGTACATTATACCAACCGCAGTATTAAACAATCCCGGCAGCTGTGCGTATTATTCCACGAATTATAAATTCAACAGATTAAAAATATAATTAGCAGCGAATCCAATACATCATTCCGTTTCATTAGCGAAAAATACAACGGCATTACTAAAGCCGATAATCACGTAGCGTCGCATCGCGTTGTCTAATAATTGATTATAATTATTAATACTCGATGTTGACCGGCATTTTGGTGCAATATCTCGCTTCGCTTCCCAACTGCAACAAGCTTCGCACGATTATAAATATTTGTTGCACCGTAGGAAAATTGGGATGCAGCAACGATGTGCAACGAGATGTGCGAGGAGGAAGTTCCGGCGACGCAGCAGGTAGAGAGTGTTTACATATGAGCTTAACGAACCACGTCGGGGAAATCTCCGGAAAATCGTCCGGAGAAAAAGGCCGAGAGTTGCCCATCATACCGACAACTTATCCCTCCACGATTCTGCCGTCGTCAGACGCTCGTAACTTGGCAGAGACGTCGGTTTAGTTTGCGTGCGCTTTATCGGCGTCATAAATGTTCCTTAATCTGCATCAGTAGGCAATTTACAGCGTGATTCGCGAAATCGTGAAGAAAAAAAGCTCTGGCTTTTAGCGCATTTTAATCTTCATATATAATTTAAGAAATCAGAGAACGAAGTGGTAATCTATTTTATCGAGAACGAGACTGATATATACAATTATTGCGGCTGGAATATAATAAAATGGAAGTCTGTTTCTGAATGTCTCAATCATTTTTACCATCTCTTTTTAATTTTATTTTTATATAATCACAGAAAAAACAGTATCCTTGAAAGAATGCAAATATGCCTTGATTCAAGTATATTTTATCCTTATAGCGCCAAATATAAATAATTTTGGATAAAGGATAATTTATCCTTAAAACAAAGTGCAAAATATTCTTGGTTGAAGCTGAAATTTACTTATAAGTATTGCAAGGATAAGTGAGCATCGGATATAAACGATACTTTCAAATATATAATTCTTAATTCAAATGTGATTAAGTTTGTTTTTACTATATGATTTTTAAAACAAGAATATATTTTAAGGATAAAATATACTTTACACATACTTATTTATTATTAGACAAATAAAATTTGTGATTACAAAGAGCATTCTGTGCTTAAATCAATCAAATAGCGTTCAAGAATAAAAATATACTTGAATCGAGGATTCCTTTTTTTTCTGTGATTTAGTAAAGACTAGTAAAGAGAAGAATAAAGATTTAAAAGAAACATATCTTTGCCGAAAGCAACATTCTAATCTGCAGACCATTTCAAGTCCCTCATAATCCGAGATTAAGTTAAATCTCCGTTTTCGGGGGAGAAAAATAGCAAACGGTCGGCAATATTTTCACTTTTCAAGTGCGACAACACGACGAAAGCACGCCGAGCCACATCACGACAATACTCAATAAAATATATCGCACGTATAAAAAATGAAACAGCTCCTCGTGGTCGTGGAGCTACCCCCAACCGACAGGCGCCTACCGGCTTTTCCGCGTGCTTCAGCCGAGGATGACCCCTCGGGAGTTTATATTATGTAAGCAGCGTAGTTGTAGCGTAACTTCAGCCAGCTCATGCATATCTCAGCGAGAAGTGGGTGCCACTCCAGCTCGGTCTATGCTTTTCCCCGGTCGAATCCCTTTCGACCAGACTTCCTAGATCCTCCAAAACCGTCCAAGGGACGTTCTACTTCCCGACGCTAAACACGTCGGGCAAATAGTTTTTATGCTTGTTGCGGAAATTGGGTACGTGTGTTTATGCGTGTGGTGTAAGAACATTTTAAGAAACGTGACAAAATTGACGCGCCTTTTTACCTTCAATGTTAGTTTTAAACCTATGTATGTATGTATATTTATTATCAATCTTATGTCTGATAAATTCCAAATTATTAATAACAGTCACTAGTAATTAAATAGGAGTTGCGGAAATAATCGACCAAACTTTCAAGTGAGAATTTAATATTAGTGAGTTGCGAATTTTGTATTAGTGTTTCGTTAATAATAATAATAATAATAATGTAATAAATTATTTTAGTCTCCTTAAGTCTAATGTTAATTTGATACTGCGATTTAATTACGATCTCTGTGCGTTGGTTAATCTTCGAGATTGAATTTTTATTACGACGATAGTATAGATAGTTTGCACGCGCATACGACTTTTGATGAATTTTAATTTCCGAATGATTGAAGGGATCCTATACAAAGTATTTCGCACATGCTCTCAACGCGGAATCTGGGTCAGATTTTTACAATTTAAATAGTTTCTTTCAAATTCAAAGCACGGGGAAAATCATCGAGTTGATCGACCCTTTGAACTCTCGGACCGATATCTGAAATTTTCACGCTATTCTACGCTTTTTTCCCGTAGGTATATAATAGTCACCGCATACGTAATGTATATATCGGCACGCAGTAAAGTGTCGTATTTTGGAAACATCAGTCTTATAGATACAGCTTGTTCGATCATTTTTTTATATCATATTTTAATTTTCGTATAACAATTTTAATTTTGGATATTTCGGAAATCATCTTAAATCTCTAATAACAAATCATATGGCTATTCTCTCTCTTCTCTTTTCTCTCTAGCTACAATTTTTTCAGATAAAATTACCTATATATTCTTTTTCCCTTTGAATATTTGTCGAGTAAAACGAAGCTTTCCTGTACGCTTGACCTTTTTATCGAAAACCGCCGATATATTGGCAACTTTCAAAGTGCTGGATATTAAGCGACTATATACAACGTGCGAGGGTGCATTTTCGACGCACACAATAAACTACAAAGATCCATCGGATGCGGCCGTTGACATAATGCACGGCAGCGGAATTGGCTAGTTATGAACGTTTTTTGCGAACGCAAGCACAGCGAATCCGTGGACCCGCAGCTTCAGCAGTATTGCGGGTCTCTTTCTCTTCGTATATAAAAGCACGTCCTCTCGCGCTTCCCCTTTTTCCTTCCCTTGGTCCTCTTTCGCTTCTCCACTTCCCTAACCGACGCCATCATCTCGCCTCCAACCCAACTATGCACTGTCGCCCCATCTTACTTTTTTGCAGGCTCTCTTCCATTCAAGAGACGCGATTGCAGTTTGCATATTTTATGAAAGACCTGCTTCCATCCATCCATCCGACTCGCCTGCCAACCATCCATCCATGATGGATCCGTCTGACCGTTGCCAGACTGCGACCCAACTCTGCACTTTTCACGACAATGCCAGGACACGTTCCTGTTGACCACCTTGCCACGCCAATTCTCAGCATGCATTCCTATGCATTTCTCTGCGAGGATATTCATAGGAAAATTTTGTTGCAGTGCATATTGCACCGGGAACGATCACAAGGGTCATTGCGGATATATTCCCAGGCTTTTATCGTTAAAATTTTTATTCCTTCTCCTCTTTATACAAAACAAAAAAAGGCAATTATTTACGTATATTTTTGCATCTTGCGCGCGCACGCTCGTGAAAAATTTCTAAATTTTTTTATTTAGGTTGCAATTTTCTGAGAAAAAATTTATTCAAACAAATAATTCGAGCATGATATATTTTATTAAACTTTTTCATTTGTTTTAACTTTCGAGTTTATTTTTATAATTTTATATTAATTTAAACTTTATTGTTTCTATTAGTATATATTGATTAAATTAATAAATTAGTTTTTATAACCGTAATATTACTTCTGCTCTTATTAACCTTTTATATGTGTAATACTTTATTTTATTAAAGATATACGATATAGCTCGAAGATACGCAACGTGTCATTTCTAACGTTTGAACAGGCATAAAGGACAGTTCCTTTGTGTTGCACGACAATAGAATTTTGTTCAGCATTCCATTCTCGCTTTTGTCCTTAATGCTTTTTTTTCTTGATTTATTATTGTTGGGAAAGACTGGAAAACGGTAAAGTCGGAAATTCGGGACGTTTTTGATGATGAAAGAATCTCGACGTTTTCAAAAATTACTTAGACATTATTTACTTCTTGAGTTTGAATATACATAGAGATGGTACATTTTCCGCAATCTTGATTCGCGGAATTCCAATTCGCGCTTATACATACATATACACAATATGCGTCTCGTTTTCACCACAAGGGAAATCACGCACAAGAGAAAGTACGGCGCATTTATAGAATCTGATCGATGCGGATTGGCACTCGTTTGTTCGAGGGGGTTCGAGTTCCGTACCCAGGTTCCAGGGGGAGATC